TGGACCAGCCTGTTTTCGCCATCTTAGACTTCTACCTGCCTCTTTGCCTGTACACAACCTCTTTAATTATTGTTTATTTCCTTAATTTATATACTGCTCCAATAGTGCAAAAGCACTATTCTTGGCGGTTTAACAGCAGGCAAAAAATGTATTAAACAAACAATAATTAGTAAAATTAAAATAATGGCATGAAAACCAAATGGCATCAGAGACAGTTTTCCAATAATAGCAAGATAAGAGGCAAACAGTCAACCAGGGTCTGTATGAAAAGGCCTCCCTGAAAAGGATTGTTTTAAGTTGACTCCTAAATGACAGCAGGGACGGGGGCAGGTGTAACGCCTCCGGGAACTGGTTCCATAACGTCGGTGCCACCATGAAGAAGGCCCTGATTCTTGTGGATCATTTTCTCCAGTGTTATTTCATGTCTTCACAAGTTGCAAATTAAGTTGCTTTGGAAGCAGATTAATGGGAAGTAAACGCTAGGCTTTGGTTGTTGGTTGACTGTGTAAACACGATAACAATGCAGAATACATCTCTGGAGTGATCAATGTTTCATCACTTTCTAATTGCAAAGCTGCCATCCTGAATTTTTTACCCTCTGTCTTTCTCTGTTAGTTCACTTTGGTCCTTTCCCCTTCATTTTCTTCAGAGACACATAGCTTATTCTTGATTGGTGTGCTCTCCTTTTGCCCTGTGGCTTTAAAGAAGATGTCTCTCTACTATTTAATTTTCTGCACATCACCCAAATATCCCAGCTACTCTTCCATCTGGCCCAAGATTCTGGGAAACTCAAGGATGGTCCACTTTATATCAATTCCATAGGAAAGCAGTAATAATATTGTATGGTTAAGTACAGACAAGATGTTGGCACATCGTTTAGGGACCCATGTCATCTGTCCTTTTAGTAAGTGGGAGAGATTAAACTGGTGTAGTTATCTCCTGACTTTCTCTTCTAGAGCAAGATTCAGCTGTTGAATTTCTACCGACATTGCTGCAGTCAAAGGCACAGATGCCCAGCTAGAAACACCTATGGCTGCCAGGTCATATCTGAACCAGAGATGGGCATGCACCTCAGTTCAGTGGTTCACACCAGTTTTTACGCAAGGCACCACAGGTGCTGCCTGTTCCCATCTCCCGCCTCCTTGGCTGGATCCCCCGCTCACCAGCCGGCACATGCTCCTCTCCTCCTCCTCCTCTTTGGCTGTTCAACCAGTCTCTGGCAGGAACACGAGCTTCCCTTCCCCGCCTTTTTGGTTGATCACCCACTCAGACAAGGAGGCAGGACAGGCAAACCTGTGCTCCTGCTGGGCACTGGTTGAACATCCGAAGAGGAGGAGAAGGGGAGCATGAATCGGCTGGGGAGTGGGTCAGAGTCTGGGGAGGTGGGGGAAGGATACATGCGGCACCTGTGGTGCCCTGCATATGAACCAGCACAACTTTCTGAATTGAGGTTTGTGCTTATCTCTAAGAAGCTATACAATGGTGCCTCGCATTACGACGTTAATTCATTCCAGCGAAATCGCTGTAGAACGAAAAGTTATGTGAAAATAAAAAGCCCATTGAAACGCATTGAAACCCCTTCAGTGCGTTCCAATGGGCTGGAAACTCACCGCCCAGCGAAGATCCTCCATAGGGTGGCCATTTTGGTGCCTGTGCAGTGAGGAATCTGTCCCAGAAAACAGCAGGGAGCCATTTTATTTACCCAGCGGCCATTTTGAAACCACCAATCAGCTGTCCAAAAATCGTCATTTTGCGAAGAATCGGTTCCTGAAGCAGGGAACCAATCATCGCAAAGCGAAAAACCCCTATTCAGATCATCGTTTTGCGATCGCAATTGCCATTGCACAAAGATCATCATAATGCGGTTTCATTGTAATGTGGGGCAATCATAAAGCGAGGCACCACTGTATCACTTGGCACTTTTTGAGCTCCACTTAAAGTAGCCCAGGCATCTATTTCCAAGTAAACGTACACAGGATCGGCCCTGTTGCCGAGTCCCTTCAGTGTCCCATTTTAACTCTCCTTTATGCTTTTCTCTTTTCCAAATCAAAGCGGGAAGGGAAGGGATTTGAGTACTGCAAAGGAGCCCTCATTTCCGAATATTACGTCCTGACAGCCGCCCACTGCTTCACCATTGATGACAAGGCAGAGCAGATCACTGTCAAGATTGGTAAGCTACTTTGCCTCAGCGTGGAGACAGGAGTATAAATTGTGGCTTAGCTTGTGTGTGTGTGAATATGTGTGTGATGTGCCTTCAAGTCAGAACTGACTTACAGTTACCCAGTAGGGTTTTTAAGGTAAGAGAGAGATTGAAGTTGTTGTGTTGTTCGTTCCACAAAGACACCCTGTCGGTTTCTGTGATCTAGCTGGGATTCGAACCCAAGTCTCCTTAGTCCATCATTCTGCACCACAGTGGGTGTTAGTTTGTTGACTGGATTGGTAAATCAGAAAAGGTGAGGCAGAAACAAAAGCAAAGCTCACCAGTCGGAGATTTTTTAAATGTCAATCCGTGTGAGATTTTGAACATACACAAAACTGATTGTGTATTTCTATAAAAAGGCACAAAACTCGAGAACGTGACAGTCATTGCCTTGTCACATGCACTCCCATGAAAGTCATCACTCTGACTAGGTTTGTCCATATGTTGGTGACCAATCAGCCTTCAATCAATCTTTGGTGCTGCCTGTGTATGTATGTCGTTAGCATCAAGAAAAAATAGGGATTCTTTTTGAGCAGAGATGATTTGTGCTGATGGTGGAAAACATGGTAGGGAAGAAAAACACTTTCACGTTGCTGCCGTAGTCTTAAACTAGAGGATAGATCTGGTTAATCTGGCTAATCTTTGGCAGGCTTTCTTATTATGCTAAAATGAACGGTTTTGAGTTGTAAGCTTCCCACACACACACACACATTTGTAGCAGAGATAGACGGCCTGTCCACTCTGGCATATAGATATGATATATAGATCACTGATAAAGTTTAGGTAGGGGGAAAAAAGACCCTGCCTGCAAGTGTTTCTACTTAGAATGATCCATCCTTCCTCTTTAAGTGTTGTCGCACGCCCTTCTGACACAGGGCTAGGGTGTGCATCCTTTTTGGCATGCTCCTTGTTTAGACAGGAAAGAGCAGCCTCAGCTTCCACCTGCCATTCTGGCTACAGATTCGGGGGAAGAAGTGACAGAGAAAGTGGGAAAGGAAGCAGGCAGGTGGAAGGGAGAGAATGGAATGACACTGGCAAAGGGAAAGAGGTAAAGAAAAATCACTTCCCCTGACCATCCTCAGACGATCAGGGGAAGCACTTAAACTGATAGCTGTTAGGACTGCAATGGGTCATTATTTGCTCTTCAGATGGAAGGAGCATGCCAAATGGCATGTCACTCCTCCTCCCAATCACAACAGACCATGCTTTGTAGACCAATCCACCCCAGAGCCAAAACGGCTGGTCTGTACAGGCCCAGAGAGGAAGGGAATAGGGCGGGATGCCGACTGCCAAGGAAAAGACTAGCTTGACCTCCTCCCACAGCTGCTGGTTGAGCAGAAATGAGTTGGAGACAGTTTTCATCACCTGGAGATAAGCATTGTCTGCTAATGTCTATGGCTGTCTCTGTGAAGCCTTTAAGCTTTTCTCTTTCTCCCCCACAGGAAGGCAGAGCTCTGAAAGGCAGAGCTTCGACGTGGCTGCTGTCCATTCCCACCCACTGTATCAGCTTCAAAAGCTAAAGGATCGTAAAATTGACGAATTCTACGATTATGACATTGCCCTGGTGAAACTCACTGTCAAAGTTAAACTATCTGTTTTTGCAAGGTAAGACGAAAGAGAAAGAAAGGTTAAAAATAGCAGAGGGGTTTTGAACTAAAAGTGAATTGAAAGTGGAGAATCCCATTCTTGTGTGATCCATGTTCTGGGCTCAAGTGCTAAGGATATCCAGAGGAGAGGTGCAATTTTATTCTACCGTGTTTCTCCTAAAATAAGACCTGGGCTGAAAATCAGCCCTAGTATGATTTCTCGGGATGCTCGTAATATAAGCCCTACCCCCAAAATAAGCCCCAGTTAAGTGAAACCCCGCCCTCCACCACTGTGCAGCAACCAGAAGAAAATGACAAGACTGTACAGTATTTGAATGAATATAGATTGTTGTAGATGAAAAAAATAAAACATCCCCTGAAAATAAGCCCTAATGTATTTTTGGAGCAAAAATTAATAACTGATTAATTTAACTGATTTATGATCTTATCTTGGAGGAAGATGGTACATTCCACATGGAATTTGGGGATCTGGTGTCTCGCCTTTTTCCTCCTTAGCAACAAGCTGCTAGTCCTCAATGATGTCAAGACTCCCCCTCCCAAAAAAATTGTTTGTTCTTAGGTTAAAGAGCAGAACTTATCCTGCCGTGTACTGTTTTCCTCCCCACTTTCCTTGAGACCTCTGATGTCTTCTCTAGAGATGGGCACAAACTGCTTCATGCCAAGCCGCTCCAGGTTATTGGTGTGGCACCCCATTTCCTGCTCCTGCAGCCCCCCCAGGCAGCTCCCCCACTCACCAGCTAGTACACGCTGCATGGTTCCCTTCTTATCACATGATTCTCTAGTCCTGGCAGAAGCATGGACTTCCCTTCTCTGTCTCCTCCAGCAGCTGCCCACCCAAAGGCAGCACCGCAGGAATCCCTGCCCTGCCTCCTTGTCTGAGTGGGTAGCTGCTGGAGGAGGCAGAGATGGGAAGTCTGTGCTCTGCTGGGATTGGAAGATTTATTTTATTTTATTTATTTATTATTGGATTTATATCCCGCCCTTCTAGACAGAAGTCTACTCAGGGTGGCTCACAAAATTTTGTGCACAAACAAATAAAAACAACAATTAAAATCTACAATAATAATATGATCAAGATGGGAGAATAAACAGCAAAAGCGAAGAAAGTACAATCAAGAATTGGCAGGAAGGAAGGCCTGCCTAAAGAGCCAAGTTTTTAATTGACTCTTAAAAACACCCAGCAAGGGTGCCGCACAACAAGAAGTGGACCAAGCAGCATATGCCAGCTTGCGAGTGGGGGAGCCAGCAGGGGGTAGGTGGGAGAAGGGAACACACAGCACCTGGGGTGCCACACCTATGATTTAGTTATGACCCAGCATGAAGCAATTTATGCCCATCTAAACTAAACTAAACTAAACTAAACTTCTCTGTAATGCTTCACCATACTGCTTAATCAGTGATGAAGGAAGAAGTGGGGTGCCCAAGGATATGCTGGGATGCTCTGCTAATTACCATTTGGTGCCCTCTTTCCCAGGCCAATCTGCTTACCTTGTACAGCAGGAGCCACTCGAGCTCTGAGGAAACCCCACCCACAGACCACCTGCAAGGAACATGGTAAGAGGTTGCCTGTAGCCTAAGTAAAGCAAAGTATGCTGCTTATATACTGTTAAAGCACTCTCTGGGCAGTTTACAATTCAATTATGTAGGCTGCACATTGCCCTCCCAGTGAGCTTGGTACGCAGTTTACCTTACTTGGAAGGATGGGAGGCGGAGTCAACCTGAAGCCAGCTACCTGAACCCATCAGGATCAAACTCAGGTTGGGAGCAGAGTCTTGACTGCAGTACCACAGTTTAACCACTGTGCCAGAAGGCTCTGCACCAAGTACTCCAACTGGCATAGGTGGCAAACTTTGCCTTTTAGATTAGAGATGTGAAGAGCTGGGGAGTGGTGGGTGGCAGTGGGCTTTCAGGGAAAAAAAATATTTTCCCCCAAGAACAAAATGTTTTCTCCTGGTGAAGAAATCGTAAATTTTGGCGAATGTAGGGAGAAGAAAGAGGGGGGAAATTTCTCTTTTGGAATGAGGTTTTCCCAACAGGCCAGGAACTGTGTAGGGTTAGGTTTTGAATTTCAGTCTGCAGAATTAGTGAATGATAATTTGACAAGGGGATGAATGGGGAAAAAAAAGAATCTTGATATTCGTCAGAAATCGCTGATTCTTCACTTTATCTTTGTTAATTCCGGAGGCCCCAACAAATACAAAGTGATGAATATTAACCCTTTTTATTCGTCCTTCCGTTGGGCCCATAGAACAAGCTAGGCTGCCGGAACTGCCGTGCTCCGTATGCAGGAACTGCCGCCCCCCACAGCCTGCTTACACCCCCTTCCCACTGCCCACCATCACCTCCGTACCTTGTCCTGCCATGGCCGACGGAACAGAAAGTAGGCTGCAAGAATGGAAGCTGCCGTTCTGGACAGCTCGCCTGCTTTCTGTGCCTCTACACATGCCGATCAGCTGATTGGTGCACACCGGCGGTTTCTGTCCCTTTAATTGTTGTAAGGTGCCTTGGGTCGTTTTAAGGAGAAAGGCAGGGTAAATATATTTTAAATAAATAAAATAAAGAAATAACCTGCTTTATTTATTTAAAAAAAGGGGGCTCCTTTTTTTTCCAAACCCCACCACAACCTGCTCATACAGCAGAAACTACTATACATGGGGTGAGGTAACATCGTGTACAGACGCCTGTGGTTCCCTCATCATTCACAATTTTGCTCATATAAAATGAAGTATTTTCTGATCTTTGTGTATATTTACATTTTTTTAAAAAAATTAAATTTCATAAATATGCCAAATAGGACCACTGAAAAACACTAAGCTACAAATGAAGTATTTGATGTCGCTAAGGCATTAAAATAAATTTCACTTTAACTGGAGAAGAAAATTTGCATGTATTTCAATTTGACCCCAAGTGTTCCTCCCTGCCCCCCAGGAAAAATTACACTTTTCCTCACACTGAGGGGGAAAAAAACGGAAAATGTACACCCCTATGGCTGATGTGGCACAATAGTCCCCACCTCAAACACAATTTTTTTAACAGGTCATCCAAAAGAAGGCCTCATTTTCTGTCACTAACTCTCCCTCATTTTTCCAGTTTTGGTTTCCCTTTTTTCCCCTGACCATATATTCATAAAGTAGAAGGAAGATGGAAGAGTTGAATAGTATCTCAATTAGAGATGGGCACAAACTGCAGGTTCAGCAGTTTCTGCTGGTTCGTTTCTTAGTTAGTTAGTTAGGCATTCTTCAGTCTTGAAAGACTATGGTAACGTGCTCTGTATGCAGGACTTGGAACAGCATCTAGTGTGGCTGAGGAGGCCAATCCGAGAGTGACCATCCCTTCCACACTGAAGACAAATCCAATCTGTCCCCTGTCCAGCTCCCTGATTTTGCTGCTTTTATGACTTCCTCTGTGCTTCGGCCTGCTGGGCAAGGGTCTCTTCGTTGTCCGTACATTCCAGGTGCCCAGCTTTAGGGCAGAAGTTTTCTTATGATTGTTGCATGGGGCACAGTTATCGACCTGCTTGTCCAGTTTCATCCACGCACCCCGTGAAATTAACAGACCATGGCGAGGTAGCACCTTACTGGCTGGGGTCTGCCCAGCTTAAGGCGGGCGGGATCTACCTAGTGAGGGGGAATGACCTCTCCCACCGTCAGAAGTAGCCCCTGGCATCATGCTCTAGGCCAATCGAGCAAAGACTTATAACCGGTAACTGCTACTTCCCGTGTTGTTTCGACGCTGTATGCGAAGCTGGAGTGTCCTCTCCAGAGCACGAAGCCTGGGTAAAATAATATGGAGGATAGGCTGTTACCCAAGCAGCAAAACCCCCCTCTCCACGTTTCTGAAATGGTCCAATGGAAAGGCAAGAGCTAATACAACTGGTTCCAGCGACGTAACTGCACATGGTTTTCTTTGTTTTGTTTGTTTGTTTGTTTGTTTTCCAGAGGAAATGCTCCTGCCTGCTGGGAATGTTGCTTCCTTTTTTGTAACCGACTGCAGTCACAGTAGTGGAGGCAATAGGCTGCTTCGCCAAACTGTGCACATCAAGAATAGTGAACTGGTGAGGACGGCCGAACCGGAGTGTCTGAGCTGGGCAGCATCTTTAAAGCAACAGGAGCAGGACCACCACCGAGATATGGGATAGCTCTGGTTTATCTTCAGGACAATTATGGGTGTGATTACACAGGGATTTGTCCCAGTGTTTGGTCCAGTCTGGGGATGGGATGGTTTCCTCCTTTTCCAGGAGACTACACAACATAAATGCCAGTGTGAACCAGCCCATTCCCAGAGTGTTGCTCCTCGCACTTTTTTGGCACCCTTTCAGAAGCTATATACTTTTTAAGGTCCAGGCAGGATTGCTCCATTTTGGTTCGGTTCCAGAAGGTATGATTGCTGGGACTGACCCAAAGTGGATGGCTTTGCTGCTTTCAATTTCCCCACATCGTTCAGTGGCTTGAACAGACCGCTTAGCCACTGAACGGTATTGGGAAATTAAAAAACGTCCTCTACTCCTCTGTGGAGGTACTCCAAAGGTCGGTCCTGGGCCAGGTGCTCTTCAACATTTATATTAATGACTTGGATGATGGGGTACATGGAATACTTATTACATCTGTGGATGACACAAAATAGGGTGGAAGAGCTAATACCTTCCAAGACAGGAACAAAATTCAAAAATGTTTTTGAACAATGGGCTGAAAACAACAGAATGAAATTTAACAAGGATAAGTACAAAGTTGGGGGGCGGGGAACCCAATGCACAGTTACAAGATGGGGGATACTTGGCTCAGTAATACTACAAGTGAGAAGGGTCTTGGAACTGTTGTAGATCATAAGCTGAATATGAGTCAATAGTGTGATGTAGCTCCAAAAAAAGGTAAATGCTATTTTAGGATGCATTAACAGAAGTGTAGACTCCAAATCCCATTGAATTACCAGTCCCCCTCTATTCGGCACTGGTTAGGCCTCATCTAGAGTACTGTGTCCAGTTCTGGACACCACACTTGAAGAAGGGTGCTGACAAAGTAGAACAAATTCAGAGGAGGGCTACAAGGATGATCAGGGGTCTGGAAACCAAGCCCTAGGAAGAAAAACTGAAAGAACTGGCCATATTTAGCCTTGAGAGAAAAAGACTGAGGTGAGATAGGATAGCACTTTTGAAATGCTTGAATGGTAGTCATATAGAGGAGGGGCAGGATCTGTTCTCAATCATCTCAGAGTGCAAGACATGCAACAATGGACTCAAGCTACAGGAAGACAGATTTAGGCTGAGTATGAGGAAAATTTTCCTGTTCGAGCAGCATGACAATGGAACCAACGACCTTGCGAGGTAGTGAGCACCCCCAACGCTGGAGCCATTCAAGAGAAAATGAGAAAACCACCTGTCAGGTCTGCTTTGACTTGGATCCTGCACTGAGCCGGGGGCTGGACACAGTGGCCTTAGAGGCCCCTATCCAACTCTGTGATTCTATGAGAGAGAAAACAAATGGTGTTTTCTAAAAGCTTGTTTAGGGCTTTAGATTTTTATACATCGAGAGTTTCCTTCCAGGAGGAGGAGTCGGGAGTAATCCCACTTGTCCCGTATCTTCTTGCAGAAAATGGCCTGTGAGGAAGACGCAAAGAAAGCCAAGCACTATGTAAATGTCACCGATGTCTCAGAGGTGGTGACGGACCGTTTCCTCTGCACGGGTGGTATTGACCCAGTGGTAGACCCGAACACGTGCAAAGGTAAGGAACATCAGCCTTGTCCCTCTCTCTCTCTC